TTCATTAAAATTACTAATAATAAAAATATCTTTTTCAAAAAAGATTATTTTGACATTTAGATGGAAAAGATCCAAGATTATATCTTGGTTCTTGTAGACTTGTTTTCATTTTCTTCAACCTCAACTTGAACTTGCACATGAATAATTGATGGTCTGTTCCACAGTCCACCCTGGCCTCATCTTGACTCTTGATATTGAACTTCTCCAGTGATTCTTTCCGCAGATACAGTCAATCTAATTCCTATGCAGCCCATCAGGTGAGGTCCATGACTGATTTGGTATGTTGTTAGGAGGGGCTATTCCTGGGAAAGGGATATCAAGCTTGGAAAGGTGGAGGGTCAGTGAAAGAGGAAGACCCTCAAGCAAATGGATTCACACTGACTGCAGCAATGGGCTCAAGTGTATAAGGTCAGGGACGATGAAAAGGTGCGGGATAGGACAGGGTTCTGATCTGTTGTTCATAGGGTCGCTATGAGTTGAACTCAACTTGACAGCACTTAATAACAACACGTTCAATGTATGCTGAGCAAATCATTGGAGAAGCTGGACTATATGGAGAAGAATGTGGCATCAGGATTGAGTGTGTCGGAGTCGGCGAGGATGGTACAGGTTAGAGCAAGATTCAGATCTGTTCATGGAGTTGAGATGAGTCGTTGATGGCACAACAAGATATTTAACATTGAAACAAATGAACCAGACAGGGAAGCATAGCAATTAAGACTGCATCAAAAATATAACCTTTTCCTCTGTAACCCCCACGGGGCTCCCACCTCCCTGCATGCCCTGCATCTCCCCACCTCACGCCCAGCCCTTCGCCTCGCCCTCCCTCCCTCCCTCCTGCTGCAGCCTTCAGGGCCTTCTGGCTTTTCCTCCCACAGGGGCAGGCACCAGCTGTATCCATTGCCTGGAATCCTTTTCTCCCAGGCCCTCCCCAAACCCACTTCTCGCCTCCTCAACCTCCACCTTGTCCAGCCCCTCACCACCCACCTGGACCGATGCAGTGACCCCTGCCCCTTGTTCAGGACTCCTGCCAGCTTTTTATAAGCTGTTCTCCCCCAGCCACCAGAGGGCGCCCTCGAGTGCCTGCGTCAGGATCATCTCTCCTCTGCCCCCAGCCCTCCTGGGCTCCCACCCTCCACTGGTAAAAGCCAGAGGCCTCTCCTCAGCCCACAGGGCGCCGCACACCGTGCATCATCCCTCCTTGTCCTCCTCTTTTCCTCTCTCCCCTCAATCACTTCACCCCTTGGACTGCCTTGCTGTTCCTCTACTTCTGCCCCAGTCCTGCCTCAGGACCTTTGCACGACTGTTGTATCTCTGAAGTACAATTCCCCAGGTATCCACACAGCTAGCTCCCTCACTTTCCCTTATCCCTGCCCTAGTTACTCCTACGCTCAGCACTGTCTTCCTAGCATTTCACCATCTACCCTACTTGGCTAGGAATGTGTGTGTATGTGTGTGTTGAGAGAGTAAGAGAGACAGACAGGGAGAGGGAAAGAGGGAGGGAAGGAGAGAGAGAGAGAGAGAGAGAGAG